TTGCTCATCCCATCTCCAATGGTCCCCTCACCTAGTAATTGGTGTAGAACCAGATTTTCTGCTTCATTTGCCCCTTTGCTCATACCATTTAACATACATATTAGTTAAGTACATGTAGGACTCTAGCTAACCATTAGCTGGAAGGTGGGAATTTTCTTTATCACTTTGTATCCCCAGCACTTAATTTATAGTATACTTGGTATTCAATAAATACTTGAGGAGAAATGTTCAGTTTTCTATAATTTAAAAAGTCTTTGGCTTCAATTTATAATGTAATTCTAGGATTGCAGCAGAAAAGTGGAGAAAATTAGATTAGAAGGCACTATAAAGAAGCCAAGTTTCTATTTTGTACTGTAGTCTTATGGATAAAGTTTAAGAAGGTAGCTATTAGATATGAGGCCCACTGGATAACTTGGAGAGATAAGTATTGTATAGATTTAAACCTGTAAAAGTTACTCAACATTTTTTCCTTCAACTAGTTTTTCTGGAGATACTCTGAAAATTATTTCAAACTAAAGATATTATGCCTAAAAGAATTAAAATGGCAAAAGCAGCACCTTAATATCTCAGCCTGTGGCAGAATTTCATTATGTCTATGTCTTAATTGCTAAGATAAAGGCTGATTACCAGAGAGGCATTCTGTTTAATAAGCTTTTGTGGTTTTCCCTACTGATACTATAAATAAGTATTCACAAACTGAAAATATTGAAGCAAGATGATAACCTACACTAATTTTCTTAGTCCATATCTATTCCATTGCAGGAGTGGGACAAGGATGTAAAGGTGACACGTTTTCACAGATAATTCTTCTCTAAAGCCTATAAAGTCACTTCACTGGGATATTAGAGTGAAGGCATATGTAGCAGTATGCTGTGTTTCATTAAAAGGGGATAATACATGTTTATAACCTTGAGAAAATTACTTCACTTAGTCTGTTTCTCACTTGTGAATGGAAGCATAATATATATTCCGATAACTGGTGGTGAAAACTAAATGACAGAGCATGCCAAATGCTTACTTAGCACCTTGCTTGGCTTATTATAGACATTGTAAATGTTAGCTTCTGCTCTTGGAATTAAAAGTCAAAAGAATAGTTGGAAGAGCTGTGTGCTAGATCACCCGTGTCATTTTACACCTTCCTCACTAATTATGTCCTCTATGTACTCCTCTAATTTCAAGCAGAGGATAGGCATCTGGGAAGAGGAAAAAGTTTCATGCAAGGGTCAAGGCAAGGTATGGTGGAGCTAGATGGATATCAAAAACAAACTTCTGGCAGGACACAGTGGCTCACATCTATAATCCTGGCACATTGGGAGGCCGAGGTGGGAGGACTGCTTGAGCTCAGGAGTTCCAGACCAGCTTGGACAACATAGCAAAAAAAAAAAAAAAAAATTATTAGCCAGGTGTGGTGGCAAGCACTTGTAGTTCCAGCTACTTGGGAAGTTGAGGTGGATGGATTGCCTGAGCCCATCAGATCAAGGCTGTGGCAAGCTCTTGATTATGCCACTGCACTCTAGTCTGGGCGACAGAGACTGACTCAAAAAACAAAAACAAAACCAAAAACAAACCACTGTTCAAGACCAGCTTAGGCAACATAGTGTGACCTCATCTACAAAAAAAAACCAGCTAGGCATAGTGGTGTGTGCCTGTAGTCCCAGCTACTTGGGATGCTGAAGGATTGCTTGAGCCTAGGAGGTCATGGCTGTTGGGGAGCAAACCATGATTGTGCCACTGCACTCTAGTCTGGGCATCAGAGTGAGACCCCAACTCAAAACAAAATAAACCAAAAATCTCTCTACAATAACAAAAATCTTCTTAGTGTACTGTTGTGCCCAGGGCTGGCAATTCAAAATGTCACAGACTGCCTATTCTAGACAAAATTGAATTACAAATTTGTATTACAAATTTGTGATTGTAGTGTATAGATGATAATGGCAAGCAGGCAATAGAACAGATGACAACTGGCTTGTGTAATGCAGTGTATGACTGAATAAATTGAATACAGGGCACAGCAAAATGAGAGTAAGACATGAAAGCATAAGGTAGATCCCTCTCATAAAAGTTTGTAATCCAGCAGTATCTTTATCTAGGGTTTGATAACTTGTATCTTGCATTGATGCTTTTTATTTTTCCTTCAATAGGAGATCTATTTGTTGAGATAGCGATTTGAACCTTGATTTCTCAGTGACCGTGGGCTAATTTCATTTATCTGGACTTTTAGTTTCTCCATCATTATAATGAAGAGATGTTTCATCCCTCTCTACCCCATTCTAACATTGGTAACTCCTATGTATCTTTAAAATTTATGTCATTAGGGGCACCAATAATGCTTTGAGCTCAAAGTGATGTTTACTGTGCAAACATGGCCAATCAACATTAAAGGAAACTTTTGGTAGTTTGTGGCTTGTTTTTAACATACTACTAAAAGGAGTGTGATAACTTTTCGTTTCCATAAAGAGAAACAGGCCTACCCTGTTTTTGTATGGCCTGTGAGGCAAGAATGGCTTTTATGTCTTTAAGTGATTGAAACACTTTTCTTGATGACTGAGGTTCATAGTGATATGCTTGCCCCTGGATGAAAATGATTCTATGGTTTACTTTCCTTCTTTGGCTATTACTTCTGTTCATTAATCAATCTCAGTTTCTCTTATTAGCTACACTGTAAAAAAGCAAAGTGGAATATAGGTGACCAAGGGTTAGTAATTTATAATATTACAGTATGCTCTAACCCAAGGATAGATCTCTTGTTTCTTGACACTTTTTGTACAGGTATTTTTCATGGTGCTTGAAAATTCTCCTTTGGTAGATTTATGTTCATATTTCATATGTTTGGTTAAGGCCGCCATATCTGGCTTCTGTCCATAAAATGGCACATTCTGGATCCTTTGAATGTATCATTTCTCTTTTCATATTTCCAAGTCTTAAAAAAGTTATTTTGTTCACAGGTTGCTTTTATTTAGAATTGTTGATAACAAATCTTTTGCCCAAACCAAAGCTATGTCCATTCTGGCCTGAAAAATAATGGCTTCAGTAAGAATTTTTGATGTTTTAAGTTTCTTTCTTGAGGCAGTGTTTATTCTTATAAACATCATTAGTAAAACATCTTTGTATTATAAAGAAAAAATTCTAAAACTTAAGAAGTTGATATTCTATTTTTTTCCAACCTGTAAGCATAATTTCTATCTTTAATGTCTTTTATTACTTAATATTTTAATGTATTCTAACTACTGAGGCACACATTAATGATAACTTATCGTGCTGCTTCTAGTTTTCTCAGTGTGGCATTATACCAAAATAATTAAGAGTTCTTTCTGGGAACCCTTCTGATACTATTAAAATTGATCCTCACATTTAAACAGGTTGGTTATTGTGTTGCCTTTACATATATTTCTTACCCAGTTTCTCTCTTCCTTCCTTATAGCACCTTTCCTTTTAGCAATTTCATACAGAATTTCTTTTTGTTTTTGCTTTTTTTATAGCCTAGCTCAGGGTCAGCAAACTATTGTCCACGGGCCATATCTAGCCTACCCTGTTTTTGTATGGCCTGTGAGGCAAGAATGACTTTTATGTCTTTAAGTGAAAATTAAAGAATATTTTGTAATGTGAAAATTGAATGAAATTTAAATTTCATGTAAATAATTAAGTTTTATTGGAATATAGACATGGTCTATGGCTGCTTCCTCTGCCACAAAGACTGAGTTGAGTAGTTGCAACAGAAACAATATGGCCTGCAAAGCTTAAAGTATTTACTATGTGGTCCTTTAGAGAAACATTGCTGACTCCTGGCCTTGCTGATTCTGTTTTTTTGTTTAAGTTTATTTTAAAATTATTTATTTTAAACTCAGATTTTGTTTTCCTTGCTGATTCTTTGCACATGGTGCTGTCCTTCTTTTTCTTGTGAAAGATTATACTTATATGTATGAATAGTTTTTCCTGAACTACAAAATCTTCTTGTCTAGTTTTTTTTTTTAACAGATGGAAGCTTTTTTCTACTTTGAATTTATTTAATGATAGATTCCAGAGACCAAGTAGTTTGGGTGCTCAATTGAATTAGGAGTATCTAATCAAACCTGGAACATTCAGTTCTCAATATTTACTGTCATTTTCAATCCTATTTTTACAGATCCCAAATACTAACGTTGGCAATTATAGGAAAACATTTGTAATTGATCGATTTAGCCTAGCTATTAAGTTTCAATGCCTAACAAGGAGTTTAGCTGTATTAATTTGTTGTTTAGATAGTTATGTTATCTGTCTTTACAAGAGAGAACTAGACCAAAATGCTATTTTAGAGAAAACTTCTAGGCAAAAAAAAAAAAAAAAAAACCTTCTGTATTAGCTGCCAGAAATCACTGTTAGAGCTTTGTAAAACAGAACAAAATATCACTTTAGATTTCTCGCAGAGCTCAAAGTGACAGTTGTATAGGACAAGAACAATCATCCTGCTTTAGGGTTATAAGACACTTTAGCCTCCGGAATTTTTATAAGCTCTGCCTCTCTGCTTCACTGAAATTGGTTAAGTATCTTGGTAGGATGATCATATAATTCCTCAAACCGGGACACTTCTAAGAGTGAAAGGAGCACTAGTTCCTTGGGAACTAAAGACTATAGGCATAAACTGAGTCTGTCCTGACAGAACCAGGATATAAGGTCCCCTAACTTTAGGAAGAGTCAAGCTTTTGCTGTTTTAACATGCTACCTCTAATAGATTTGTCCCAACCAGAATAGAGGTATATAACAGTGAACTTAGCCTAGATAAAAATCTGTCAAACTTTGAGATTCTTTCTGAACATAAATATCAAGTGGCACCCCTAACTATTTAAGTAATTAGGTTTTTTCCTTCATAATTTAGAAGCACAAATGACCACTGACTTTTGCCACAATAGAGGCATGGTCTATTAAACTTCTACTCATAATGTAGATTAAAGGTTTTGTATTTACTTACTTTAAATATTGACCACATACTGAGAACAAATTTATTCAAGAGTCAAGTAGAAAAATGAGGTTCAAAACAAACTTTATTTACATAGGGATAATAAAGATCTCAATGACTCAGATATTAAATAATTAAGCTTTGGGTTCACTAGAAGTCCGTGATTTCACCAATCCTGTTTTACAGAAGCAGTATAAAACTACATTTGGTATTTTCCCTCAGTTCTCTGGTATTCTTGAAGCTTGCAAAGATTCAGAACACTTTAATAATAGCTTGTTGAACAGCGATAGAAATGAGATGATATACTTAGAAGTCAGTCTCTCACAAAAAAGACATTATATCCAAGTTCTGTTAAAGCCCCAGCCAGCAAGGCCCATAAAGGAATGAAGACATAGGACAGATTCATGGTAGTAAACTGTTCCAGTTTAGCACACAGTGCCAGGCAGAAGGCTAATTTAAGTAACATTGCAATGAGGTACCATGCTTTTTTTTTAATATTATGTGATCCATGTCGAGGGTCAAAGCCAGACTTACATCGCCCAGCCATTTTCACAATCAGCATGACAAGAAGGATGGTATCAAATATCCAGACTGGAATAAATATGAGGAACCAGTTCCAAGGTGCCTTCTCATCCAGTTTCAACACCAACATGATCAAGAAGAGTAATGTGAAAAGCCAGGTGAGTAGTACTCTCTGAGCCAAGGACATTCTCATTTAAACAGTTTAAAGAGGTTGTTGCAGGGTCGAAAAAAGGGATATATATCCTAAGAGAAGGAAAAAAAGTCAAGATTGTTTTGATACCAGAAAAAAAATCACTTCCAATCCTAATAAAGCTGGCTCTTTTTCACTCACTGACTTCCTAATTTTGAAGACATTATACCACTTTTCAAAACCTCTAGAACTTGCACCAGTCGTTGATAGTATTATATCCATCATTCCTTATAGCCCAGCCAAAGTACAGTAAAATTTTTAGTGTATCTACTGGGTATAAGTTCTCTTCAAAATGTCTGAAGAACAGCTGCTTCCGTTTCAATGCTACCACTCAAATCCAGGCACTCATGACTTCATTTCTGCACCTCAGGGATGTTCTTATTCCCCCTATACACTTGCAAATCTGTAATTTTTAATTTAAGTTCAAGGAGTACAAAGAAAAACCATTTAAAATCAAAGCAGTAAGAGACAGAGATGGTGTCAAGGCAAGAGAGGAAAAAGTTTTATAAGGAGGGAATGGTTAATAAAAGTTGCAAGGATGTCAAGTAGAATTAAGATTGTAAAGTTGTTGGGCTAAATAATAGAGAAGGCATTGATTACACTGGATTTTCACTTAGTTTTATCTCTGGGTCTTACATTCTTAAATTCTCACTAATTTTCTCATAAAAATTCTTATTAAGATCTATTTTCTTGGTGTAAGATTTTTTTTGTGTTCTCTTTTAATACTACTCTCACTGAATTTTTTTGGTTTGTGTATAAAACTTTTTTTTTTTTTTACTCCTTGCTATCCATTTAATAATCAGGACCTCCTAATACACTCTGATGTTTTATAACTAGATGAGAATTATTCTATAATTGTGGCTATTTTTTATATTACTATTCTGCCCCACTGATCTATATATTTTTGTTCTGTGCTAACACTATATGACTTATTGTTGCTCTAGTATATATACTAATATCTGGAAGGCCTAGGACCTACTGATTGTTCTCTTTTCCTTTCCAGAATATTTTTTGTTGCACCCTTTCATTTATTCAGTGCTAAATTTGCTAAGCTTATTCTTAAAACGTTGGAATTTTGATTGGGAAAGCATTAATTTATAACAGCTTATGGATAAACATTTATTGGATTTAATCTTCATGTATAGCCTTACATTATATTTCTCCACGTATTCAAGTTTTTTACACCAACCTTTGTGACCATCTGGAAAAAGGGTAAGTAGAATGGGAAATCAGAAGCCAGACTTAAAAGAAGATAAAGAAATGAAAACATTTTAGAATATTTTATTCCCTTGAGACATTTGGAGAAGAGAAAATGAAAGAAAGGATGTGAGACTGAGACAGGGACAAGAAATTTTTAGGAAAGGAGAAATCTAATTATGATTATAAACTGAGGGAAAGAAGTTACTGGGAAACGACAGATTGAAGAAGAGAGGATACTTGATAGAAAGAAAAAGATCAGAAGGTGGTAGGGATTGGAACAAGAGAATGGGTGGCAGAAATAAAGATGCAAGAAGGTAAGAAACAAGGAAAAGGTGAAGAAACTGGCTAGTTGAACCAAATGCCCTAGACCAGCATGCTCAACTATAGAATTAATTTTAATGTACCCTGCAACATCTCTACGACTTTAAATAGAGGGTGGCTATCATGGTGCAAGAGTACACATCTGTTTTATTTCAATAGTGAGGTATGAGTCTCCTAACACACCTCTTTCCCCTTACACCCATCAACCTGCACCTGCTTATTTAACAGGCAGAGGCTTCATACTGCAGTACTTTTGCTCCCAGGGAAGCATTTTCTGTGCTGGTCTCCTTTCCTGGCCAGAGGCTGCCATGGTGGGACTGAATTTGGAAGGAGAGGCAGAAGTGTGCATGCTGACACCTATGGATGGATTTAATACTGTAAAGTGCCCAATCCCGATCTCCAATCTCAGCTATTTAAAGACTAAAGAATTGTTTGTATGCTTGCATGCTGACCTAAAGCGATGACAGACGACCAGGATTTTACATTTACATCTTCATCAACTTGGGCGGTCGTATTTGTTTTTACTATTACTCTCCTTTCTCCTTACGGGAGAGGGAACGTGCGAACTTCAAAACAAAAACATGCTTAGCTCAAATACTTCCCAGTGAAGGTGGCTACTTCTGGTACCGGGAAGACAATTATTTGTTCACGATTCCTTGCCCGTTGTTAAAACCTTGGGAGCTGGGGGTCCCCAGATGGAAACAGCAAGGGCCCTGCCCACATCCCTCGCGTCTCGGTCTCAGCCCTCGTTTTCCTTCTCTCGCTACTGCCGGGACTCAAGTGAACGTGCCTCATCTCGAAGACAGTTTCGCTTCATGGCAGGAGCCCACACAGTCTTCCTAACGCGTCGCTTTCGGAAGGCCCGTGCGGCAACAGCCTTGGCCGTGGCAAGGGACAGCGTTCTGCCGGCAGCTTGGCTGATTTGGAGGTCTACTTGTCCCTGGAACTTCAGGACGCTCCTCCACTTATCCTCGCCCTTCGTCTGCAGACACCGGCGGTCGGCTCGCGGCGCCCTGGCCGGTTTCCCCCCACCCTGGCTGCGGGCCCAGCACACGCTGGAGTTTCACGCGGCTCTTGCACGACGCCCACAGAGGCCCCGGTGCCAAGCAGGCGTGTGCGCGTTGGGGGCAGGGAGCGATGAGCAGGGGGTCGGCTGCACAGCCCGCGGCGGCATCGGGAGGCCAGCGCCGGGGGTCGGGGCGGGAGAGCAAGGGAAGGGGGCGAGGGCCCGGACTCACCAGGCAGCGCCGCTGGCCGGAGACCGGAGAGGGGCACGAAGATCGGGAGATTCGCCAGCTTGAATCCTTGTCCTTTTCCACACTTCTCCCCCCATTAAATCCAGAACCCGTCACATGATAATTAAGAAAAAGACTCGGTTCCGCCTTCCCCAGACACGGACGGAGAGGACCTCTCAGTTTACCTCGGCGCCGCGCCCACATCCGGGGATGACTCTCCCCGCCCCTGCGCCTACCCTATAGGTAGAGAGGACGCCAATCTGGGTTCAGCGGCTCCTTTCCTCGCGGTAATTGGACCATTTGTCCGCCAGTGCAAACCAACCGACCTTTCCCTACATTCGGGTTCGGCAAAAAAGGCGGCGATAGGAGAACCCTCTGGGCCCGCCTCTCTATTGCCACGGGCTAGGAGGAAAGTCAGTCCAAGCTCAGTCTGGAGTCTCCGTGGTCCCATTGGGCCCACGGATGCCAATCAGAGTAGCCCGCGGTAGGCTCCGCCCCCTCGGTGCGTCCCGCCCCTCCCCTGGTCCTCCCCGCCAGCGCGGGGAGACTGCAGGGCCGGCTCCGGCGTAAAATCCTGCGGGAGAGGGGGTGGGGCAACGCTCTGGAGGCAGCGCGCCCGCCGGCTGCCTCGTTGTGGCTCCTCGGACTCCCGCGGCGGCGGCGGCGGCGGCGGCGGCGGCGGCGGCGCTGCTCCCCTCGGTGTCTCCCGCGCGCACCCCAGCCGCCTCCGAGCGGCGCGGCGCCCGCTTCTACGGTAAGAGCGGCATCCCCTCCGCGCTTGGGTGGGCCGCGTGGAGGTCGACAGAATCTCGAGGATGGATCGGGACGAAGGAGAGAGCGGCCGTCGGGATGGAGGTGGGGGCTCCGGTGCCCACGCGTC